TGAAAATAATTATTATAAGTAAAAGGAAAACGTGCTTGCAACAGATTTTCAATATTTTTCTCTAAAGATTTTCAACATGATGCATTTTTTACTGTAAACAGGGGAGTAATTCTCTTACAGGAAAGGATGATTGGACGCAGAAAACAATTCGTCAAACCCATTAAGATGACCAGGCTAGTTAGGGACCTAATTTTAATGGTTAGAACTAAATATGCAAGATTTTGGATTACTTGAACGTTAATTTAAACGTAATGAAAGCTAAAAAATTCGTATGCAAATTCTTAAACGAGACTTGAAATCTGAAGGTAATCAATCGGAGTCGTTTGAATAACGACATCAGAGAGTGCAGTGTGTCTTCATCAAATAAGAGTTATGTAACTTTAAATTCAAATATATGTTTATTAGAGGCGTTTTATTGCTAACCAATAATGTGTACTACTCAGAAAAATGTCCCAAGTATTTGGTTTTCAATATCCTAATATTGAATAAATATTTATGTATACAATATTTTGCTCAAATTATCGTCAATTAGAAATAAACCGACGATGTCAAGTTACTTTCCATCCCGTGGAATTTCAAACAGGAAATCTATAATGAGTGATGCGAGTGCATTAATTGTCAGTTGGTCTGACCGGAAAGTAAGTAGAGGAGAATAATTGTGAAGTAGAAATATTCAAAGTTGTACAATCATCGTATGGCTGCCTAATTAGTATTATTATGCCATCAACAATATTTCTTCTAATTTTCAATATTACTCATATGATTAAGAACTCTCATTACGAAGTTAACAAAACACAATAAAAATTCTTAGCAATGTCACCTGTACTAACGTAACGAAGGAACTGTGGCTTGGAAATGAATATTTATCTTGCAGGGTTTTTAGTCCTTATGTTTTGTACAAAGAACTAAATTAAATAACATTTACAATATTAACAGGTAATCCTTGAAAACTGTGATACGAATATTTTCGAAAATATGCCCTCACCGTTGAACGTTGTATTTTTTAAAACGTCTTGTATGTGAGAATTGGAAAATTATGCCACCCTTGTACCTATATTAATACTTATTGATTATATTTGTTTAATGTTCTCTAATGAATGATTTAAATCGTCACTCTGCTTTGCGGGGGTCAAAACGATCAATTTGCTATTAACAAACTTTAAAGTACATGCAAAATAAATTTTATATACACCTTTGAAAAACGTGGTTAAAAACTAACCGAATTAACCGAAGTCCATAATAATTCTTTCGCAAAAGTTAACCAAGAATTTATATAGATAATCTGAGAATTAATAAGTGCATCGGGAGGCTAATAAGAAAACTTCCCAAGGACACATCAAAATTACTTCTGCCCTAAAAAGATTAAGTTAATGCAGGACTCTACTGATAGGTCGATGATTTCACCTAATTCAAAAATTGGAGGATTGTTAATTGTGTTTAAAATTTAACCCTTATAATACTCCTGCTCGAAGAGCCACTATTTATTTACATTACAGTGGCTTCCATTGCACAAATTTTCCAAAATATGTAAAAGAGTTACCCTAACTTCACGGAATCAGCACTGTTCATCAAGTATATTCTCTAGTTATCAACTCTAACACTGGTTAGTGATTTGTCATGAACTTAATTAAGACAAGGTAAGCATCAAAGCGAAAATTCCAAAATTAATTTCGATTGATGCAAGATAATTTTGATGCTCTTAGAAAGACCTTGCTGGTTATTTCCAATTTAGTTTTGAGATCAGTAAACGTATATTAGGCTCGAATACGTCAGCATTCAAGCTAAGGAACAGGTTTGATCCCAATTGGCAATTAGCTTTAATACGGGCATTACTGCCGAGAATTAGAGATAGATTCGACTAAGAGCCTAACGTAGATGAAGAGCAAGATCAAGGAAGTACTGTACCTACTTATCCAAATGTGAAAGGCCACTTATACTGCCAAGTTTATTTCATGAAATTATTACCGAATTGAAGAACTTTACTTCATACCACTTACTAACTAACTTGCTAACTTCATTACAACTTACTAAGGGAACATTTTCTTTCGATTATAGTGCTAATCTATATTGACCTGCCAGATGCGCATCTCCACCTCCAGTCCTTAAGCCTTACTATAGCATCGAGAAAACTTTTGCGCCTGACGAGCCATCTCTATGCAAATGAGGGAAATAATCGTCTCATCAATCTCATACTTCCAGCTGAGTATCGGCATCCAAGAAATATTTTTAATAATTATTGTATTTGATTTTTCCACCCGTGCATCTATGCTGACATTATTATAAGTATCGGTATTTCAAGATCGGTATTGGTATTTCAAGAGTATCGGTATTTATTTATCGGTTAAACGTTTCAAGAAAAGGTAAATACTTTGTTTTACTTATCACCTTATAATTTGTAAGAATTATAAGACATGCGTTTAATGTGAACGAGTAATAATCTTGATATCATTTTCATTCCTGCCTGTACAATTTCCCTATTTTATAACTCATTTTATTACCTGTCGAATTCTGATAATTTGACTCTATTAGAAGCTATTGCAACTTTTTTTTGCCTGAAAATGTAAACATTTCAATTTAATTACTTTGAATTGTTGTTTTCATTCTAGTCCTTTTTCTTAATACTGTAAAAAATGATATGAAAATAGCGATGAAAAAATATTTGCAGGAATTAAAAAAATTTATTGGTTAATTGCTCAAATTTAACTGGGTTTAATGTACCTTTTGAATTTTAATTGATTGATTGTTAAAATGTAACCGGGTATATTGTACTGTCCTGTCTTCCTTAATAAAATACTGCAATCTAATGACCTTTGATTTTATCCGCAATTTGATTAATAGGTTCGCAGGAAATTTTTACTGTATTCATTTTAATCATGAAATGTTTTCAGCGATGCATTGAAAATTTATTCGGAGGTTTTGATCCCACACTATCAGCGGCACCGAAAAAAACACATCATGAAAATCTTCCTTTGATTTTATGTGGCACGTAAAACGACTTAAAAACAAGCTTCAAGTCTTAGGAACATGTTTTTGAATGGAAATTCACTGATAACTCATTTTAATGTCGGAGTAAAAATGATCCGAGAAACGCTTAACGAACTGCATTCAGTTAAATTAAGCAAGCATTGCTGCGTCGAAATGCGGTGGCAGAAAAAATATCATCCGTTTCAATGATTTTGTAACTAACTAATTTTTATTTATGCTTATGCACGATAAATTTATCTAATAATTGCGTAGATGCATAAATTGTGCATAACAAGCCTTTTGCTAGTTTTGCCAGCCTTTAGCTCTAGGAAAAATATTTCTAATAATTTGAAAATCCCGTTGTTATAAATCCGGTCACCCCGAACCCCATTCAAGCCGAATCCATTAATCATTTGTAAGTAGAGTGAGGAGACACCCGCTGAAACCCGCTTTGAAAATTTATTTATCTTCTTTTAAAATTGAAATTAAACTTGAGTCTAGTGTTTTTGAATAAAATTTTCTTTTAAAAAATTAATTGCCTAAAAACATGAAGAATTAAATATGAAAAAGAATTATATACAAAATCTTTTTAAATTCATGCCAATTAGAGCGCTTTTTCCGTTCAAATGCCGTCTTGCGCGCTTATGACTCGGCTGAGTTCAGAGCGACTCTGAGCTGCCGGATGCTGCTTGTTAATACGGGCCAGTGCCACGTCCACTACCAGTGCCACGTCCACCGTCAGTGCCACGTCCACCGTCAGTGCCACGTCCACCGTCAGTGCCACGTCCACCGCCAGTGCCACGTGCGCCCCCAGTGTCGGTCATGTTAAGCTTGCGACAAGTTATGCTTTATTCTTGACATGATAAAACAATTCAAATCGAATCTTGATTATTATTATTTATTATTTATTTAAAATTTAAGTTATGTAGTTTCTTGAATGATAAACATAAAAATTAAACGACTTAAATACTTGACATCATGATAGTCAGAACTTTCCGAGCCAATATTAGAATCATTTAATTCGTTCGATTTCCAACAGATCTTTGAATGAAGAAATCTGCACCAGAAGTTCCAAAATTCTTTGATTTCATAACTGGAATCAAACTTTCGAAGTGAGTTGCAATCAAACTATTTTTCTGCTGCTCGGCAATTCTTTCGATCCTTGAAGTGCTTCGTAATGATGCCTGCCCTCAATTTCAGAAGATCGAGTCCAATTGAAAGATTTGATCCCACGCATCATTCTTCTGACATGTTTTCATCAGAGGGAATTGTAGTGAACCGTAAGAATGGGAGTTTTGCTAGGTATGTCATGCGGTAGTGGTATAGAGTATAGTTCTAATTATTTGCACTATTGTTGCAGGTCTAATAATTTTTCAACTACATTTTGACGCAAAACAGAAGGATTTCTTCACCATTGCGATGAAAATCATTTAATTAAAGCTAGTATTGTTTATTTTAAGTATATTGGCATGTGAACAATTAGAATATGGTCGCTGTTAGAGGGAATTAAATAAATTATTATGTGGAAGACTTTATTCTAAAATATTTGGAGTACTAGGCATTAGAAAGCCTAATGTTTGGTTCATAATACCTTAATTAAAACATAATTAATAGAATAAAGAGTGTTTCAAGAGTTGCGCATGACTCATCAAAATCCGGCATACAGCATTTGCATATGAGATAATTCGAACTGGATTACCATACTTGATTTCCCGAACGACTTATTTCTACATATCTCTAGATTTTTTATTAAGATGTGTTTCATCATCCAAAGACGGTGCAATTTCTTCTATAATCTCAGTGAGTTTAAACTTACACTTTCCTAGCTTTCTATCACCACACTTTCATCAGCATAATTTCAATCGCAACACTTTCATCGCGATATTTATTCCATGTAAAATTCGCCGAAAAATATAAGTTACTCAATTTATTGAATATTACATGTAAGCATATAAGTTATCTTGTGGCGAGTAAAAATAATGTTAAAAAACGTTCACCAAAGGATGGTTTTCGTATTCACCTTTAAATTTAATAAAAAAATGACTTGACGAATAAGTTTATGGATGCACTGACAACGCAAGGCTGGTTAATTCAGTCTGCAAAAAAATCATATCATCGTCTTGATCGCTGGAAGATTTCAGCAAATTTTTCAGATGACTGATGTAGCTGATGACCTTCCGCAACAAATTCAACTTCCAAAAATTGCTCCTGTACTTGCGGGATGGAGACGCTGTGGCCTTGGAATGAAAGCTTGTCTCACAAGAAGGAATTTCAATATCTTTGTCGACAACCTCGTTTCGAGGTCGTGTCCCAATTTTATGCTTCTTTCCGCCCGCTCGTCGTGATCTAACTTCCTTTGAAGAACAAGGTGTAACTGCACCATTCGTCATCATACAATCATCTTCAATTAGAACCGTCTTTGTTCGAGACCGAGCCCCAGGAGTCCGGAGACGGACGTATTTCTTCAAGAATCGCTGTTTCATCGGCCATTTGGGTCGTCTAGAGGGGATTTTTTTCCGCTGCATCGCCGATTGTAGTTGACGTAGAGTGAGCCGCTCCTTCTGTCGCCGATGTTCATCACTACGAGAGTTCAAATGTTCGTGCGACTGAGAACGTGAAGTCAAGTGACGTAAAAATGAAGATCTCCTCGCAAATTTATTTTCGAGGACGTTGGGTGCCATGGTACTGTAAAACAATGGGTATGAATTCATTTATGGAAAGATGGCAGACTGTCGTAGATATGCATAGAAAACAAAAGTTTGAGAACTCAATGACGATGTAGCAAGCAAAGGGTCGAGTGAAATGTAGAAGTGTGAACATATTACTTTTAATTTCTGAGTAGAACTGAAAGTGGCTGAAAATAGAAGAGTAAAATCAGAAAAGTGTTTTTAGTAAATCACTTATAAAACTATATTATATATTGCAACACGTTCAGCTAATAATTTCGTGTGATGGAAAGGATCGGGAGTGAATCAAACATCATATTGCCCGATATAAACTAAAATTGTATTTATTATCATTCAATAAATGGATAATTTATCTACGTTTCAATTTCATGATCATAATTAATGCAATTGAATTTTAAAAAATCATGCTTATATTTTAGACGAGTGCAATATTCGCCAAGCCCGATTTTGATATGAAATGATTGTATCTATTTAATGCCGTGTACAGAAAAAATGGTAATTCTGTCTAATCTACTAATCTAATTCACTAGTTTACTAATTCTGCAAACACACTCACGTGCGAAACCACCTCGTAGGCTCGAACCACGACTCCTAAAAAGAAAACTGCAACGAAGAAACTGATGCCAATAACCACGTCCCAAGACACCATCTGGAAAAAAATGCTCACACGCTAATGTATAAGTTTCAAATAAATACCGAATGAAATTTCTGAACTATAAAAACTGAATTTTTGGCGTGGAAAGAGGCAACGTAACTTTACAAAATATAACTCAGTTCTCACTGCAGTGAGTGACAGAGAGCGCATTTTTTCGTCGACGAAAACGTGAAGTCACTGACGGACGGACGGACGGACATGACGAGCACAATAGTGCATATTTTCCATAAATGAGAAAATGCGCTAAAAAGGGAGAAGGCAAGCATATTTATCGTAAAAGAGTATGTACATCCCAGTAAATTTTTGCGTAATATTCAAAGTAAACATTAAATAAGTTCGAAAGTATGCATAAATTAAACTTGAATACTTTTCGGAAATTAAGTCACAATAAATTAGATTCGGATTGCAAAACCGATAGGAATGATTTAGTAGCATTTTTCCGATTTTGGTTGATTCGAAAGCTGCGCCCGTTTTGCGAAACGTTAATTTATCTGAATAATTCATTGTCAACTTACACGTGAGCCTAGGATGCTACCACCTGAGGCAGAAAGCCCCGTTTTCCCATGAATACATTAAGTGCGTTTAGCATTTCTATTCGCTGTAGTTAACCCATAACATCCGGAGGCCAAAACAGAATTTTTAAATCTTCTCTACCATTTTTAACGCTTTGAATATTAAAGTGAAATTCAGAGCTTTTCATGTTTGCAAGAATTTTTCGCAATTATTCAATTCTTGCAAATCATTCGAATTATTCAATACGAATTCAATACGAAATTCAATTATTCGAATTATTCAATATTTCGAATTATTCAATACTGCAAGAACTTTTACCATCTAAGTGGACAGCTCAAAACTTCTATAACTTCATTAAACTGTGTGACTGTTCATAACTGATGAAATTGTTAAAAATTGCAACAACTGTCTTCAAGTTCAATGACTATTCATATGTATGAGAACTATTGACAACTACAAGCACTAATCTCAACTCAGTCACAGTTGTAGTCGCAGTATCACAGATGGTGCATTAGAATTAACGATCCACGTGAGAACTGTAGCATCGCTACCATACTCTGTGTTAACCCTTGAGAAATCAACTACCGGATAAATACTTAAATCGTAAACATTACTGTTTGCAGCATTTTTAATAACTTATTCTTCACTTAAATCATCTAAAAACTGATTAAAGTTTTAATATAATGCTGAAAGATCTAACTAATATGTAAGGAACATCTCCTTCCGTTATATTTTATCGGTCCGTGATCTTAAATTATCATTCATAAGATATGCAATTGTCATATTTGCACGTGGCTTTGATACGCCTCTTTGCCGGGCCTGAAATCTCACTCATTTTTACGAAAAAGCCTCACTCATTTTATTGAGTGATATGAAATTAGAAAACCATAATCGTCGACACTATTCCCTATTAATTGTTTCAAAAAGTGAAGCGTTTTCGATGACCATGAAAAACCACTTGATTATTTAATAGCAAATATAGCCGAGTATGAGCGAAATTAATTCAAATTAATGACAATGCGAGTATTCATATAAGGCTAATCAGGTCATTACTTGAAAAATTCATTTATAATTTATTGAGTCTTCATTTAATTTTAACTTCCCTCTCATCGTTCCATTATTTGGATAGATCCCAGCGCCATATTTATGCATTTTTTTTATTTTGCAACGTATTTACCGTGCAATAAATCGTATTCTTATTTACTAGTCTAAAGGAATAGAAAATGTCTTAACGATGCAAACAGGCACACAACAGACGCTAGGGCTGCTGCCAATTTAAATCTGTTAGCGCTTCTCAACACCTGTTGCTCTCGTCAATTGAGATGATGGCTTCAGATAAACAGTGAAATATCAGCCAGCGTTATCAAGTATATTTATCAATTTCATTTTAGTAATAAGTTATTAACTCACCTCTAGGGGAGTAATTTAGTTGCGTTCCTCGCACCTCGACTGACGCACACCCTCACCTTCCGGCTGCCCCATCCACACTGGCGGTTGAGCGTGAATAAAGTCAATTAAGTTCTCAACCGCTGCGCTTGTTGGCCGAGGGTAAAGATGTCACTCCGGATGACGTTACTCACAGGATTATGACGTCATTTAAACTCATATTGAATACGACCAATAAGTGAACTCAGGGAGCTGTGAACACTTTATGAACCCAAGCATTTCTTGTTGAAAATTTTGAGTACTTTATATGGATCGGAAGACCTTATATTCGCCACATTTCAAATGTTTTTCTCTCAAATTTCGCTGATATTAGTATAAATTGTAGATTTGCACAATACAATTGCACGACACAATTGTACAGTACAATTGTACTTGTACAATTTGCAACAAAAGTATTTGTTTCTTTGTACAATAACTATGTTTAATAGTTTTGAAAGGACCTAGAAAATAATGCAGTTACAGTGCTTTCAACTTTACGATGCTGCTATTTTCTGACTCATGATCTTATGCCTAAAATTATACTGTATTATTGCTATTTTAATCCAGATATGCCTGGTATTGTATGGTACACCTGGTGTTTTCGGTTTGTTAACAACCTAATTGTCCATTCAGCTGGAGGAAAGTCTGTGTTACACATGATACAAAGTAGCTCGTATATTCTTCGTACAACACATAAAATACAACACGATTCAGGTTCAGAAAAACCTGTTTGTACTTCACAACTTTATTCACATATACATAAGAACAATCAATACTTCACATAGTATTCACCGCAGGTAATACATGACAGTATTCACGGCGAACTACAAAAATAATTTCCATTCAAACTTTTAATGTTAAAATGCAGCAATATGTACTTGATAATGGAACCTTAGTAAAATGAAGTATCAGGACCTTAAAAATACTTTATGATGTTAGTGATTACTAAATGACTCGTGTAATGTGTCATTTAAGTTTTGATTCACCACCAATTAAACTTCGCGAATAACGTTAACTTATTTATCACTGTTTCATGATCCACCACAGAGGTGCGTGATTGCATTAGTTCTGGTAATATTTGTGATTAGAATGAGCGCGTAAATTCAGTAGTACGTCAACAATTGGGGTGAGTTTATAGATAAATGTAAATACGTTCTTCACTTTCATGGTCCATCACAGAGGTGCGTGATTGCATTATTCTGGTAATATTTGTGATTAGAATGAGCGTGTAAATTCAGTAGTACGTCAACAATTGTGGTTAATTTATAGATAAATGTAAATACGTTCTTCACTCATGTGTATGGCATTTGGTTGCATATTCAGTGTTTAGCTAATAATTTCTACTCTAAAATTCGGGTCTGTTTTTACGTTAGAGAAAGTCTCCGAAGCCTAAACTCGAAGTCCAGACATGAGCAAAGAGAAAACACTCTTATATTCTCGCATTCATCATTTGTTTATTATTATTTATTATTATTATTATGAATATTATTATTATTATTATTATGGTTATTATTATAGCTAGTTATTCATTAAATATTTGGGGAAACTGAAAGCTTGTTTTCTTATTCATTGAATAGTCCCCAACAATCATATGAGACAATGCAAAGAAAATATATTTTATTATTTTCTGTATTTATCACTCGATAAATGCCTCGATAATTTGTGTGCTTTCTAAAATTCACTTAAAGGTTTTTTCCTCTATCATTTAAGAACTCAAATTCCAAATTAATTAAATTTTATTTCAAGTCCAATTAAGTGACTTGGAAGAAACGCCATCACATAACGCAAGGAGACAAGCAGCAACATACGATAAACAGTAATTACCTAAACGACACAGATGTAGTATGAGGAATGAGTATGCCTGAGATGAGTATGAGGTATGACATACCTGGGATGAGTATGAGGAATGAGTATGCCTGATACAGAAAAGTATAACACATACAGTATGTATTTCTCATGAATTTCAACTAAAATATCTTCCATCGCTAATATGGATCAGTAATACATTCATTTAGGTCAATTTCATTTGGCTTTTCAGCAATTAGATTTGCTTGGAATCTCACTTCACCAACGCGATATGTTTCCAGATAAGCGATTATTTAGTCCATATTAGAATTTGCATTCATATTTCAGTCATATGAATACACATTTATTATCAATATTCAAAAATTTCGTCGCTGCACTCAGTTTTCATCATGATTGATAAAGTTGCTAATGAATTTCAAAACAGCTACAGCAAATAAATATAATTTGATGCTTATCGAAATTTAATAAAAAAAATAAAAAAGCACATAGTAGCTATCCAATACTGAAAACTTTCCGTTAACTTTGCTCGCTTCAATCTTAAAAATACTATACTGCAAGTGTCCTTAGTTATGCATTTGCTTAATTTTAAAAGGGTTTTGAAGGTTGACATCTAGACATACAATTAAATATTTATTGCAGGACTAAACTCACAATAACATGAACGGAAACATAAAATTGTAAATATCGTTCATTTTTCAATAACACAATAATGAATATACATGACAGAACCTGAACTCCATTAGTTTTGTTTGCATTACCTTGATCGCATTCGCTGTAGTTGGACAAATTTATATTGTGAAATTTACATTATTTTAACTTGGCGTAAATATTGAATTGAATACATTGAAAAAAAAACACTTTTGAAATGCCTTGCGCATGGAGCACCCAAACGGATTCTCCAATTTTTTATCGAAATATGCGAATCCCTGGAACGCTCACATATAAAATACTCCTTTAATTAAATGCCTTTTCTCGGGCCAAAACAAGTTTTATTTTGCTAGGTATTTTTGCCCTACGCTGCGCTGAAAAAAATCTACCGTTTTCGATGCAACATTTATTGTGAGCATCTTAATGCCAAAGAAATATTAATTTTAACACAAATTATAAGTTATTTTCTTTTATGAAAAGCGATGGTTACTCACATTACAAAATTTAAACTTTTACACTGAAAAAGTGCAAACTACATAACGATAATTAATTAGTTGAGCATAAATCCTCAAGACATTATTTGATTAACTGAAACAAATTGTTAGGTCATAAAATAGTTTCAGGAAGATGAAGCCTTTCCAGGCTATTCATAAATTGAGATGCATTCTTTTGATCTACATAAATGTATTACATTCGGTTTCTGATAACGTTATTATTCAGGTTTTAAATACTTTCAAACCTGAACTTCATTAGTTTCGTCTGTATCAGCTTGATCACAAACGCTATAGTTGGAAAAATTTAGTATATTCATTACTAAGTTTTCCTTCTGAGGAGACACGCTTGGAGTGTTAGAACTCACCTCAGTTAAGGGTGGGAGTACGGACATTTCACTAAAAGAAGTCAGCTCCTTAGAGCAATAATCTCCATAATCAACAGTCAACTTGTTTACAGATACAACTCCATGTTTATTTTTCTGTGCACACTGAAGTCTTCGGGAATTCTCTCTTTCGTGTGAATAAGTCGACGTGGAAGTGGAGGTCTCGAAATTGCCATGCCGCCCGTACCTAGCAATCAATTGCCTTCCTGGCACCGAAAAGTTCGTCAATGAAGATTGTTTATAGAGGTTAAAAGACGCTCTCAAACTGTTACGTGGGCTTTGTCCTGTCGTGCTCGACCGCGCCGAACTTTGCCGGCCATTGGACAAAGACGTTGCGGTTGTGAAGGTACTGCGTCGCATCATGTCGCGCGCCGCAGACCGCGTCAAGAAGCGCCAGAACGCGTCGCGGAATTTGGTGGAGGTTAAATTGTAGAGCACAGGGTTGATTGCAGAGTTGAGGTAGAGCAGCAGCCGGGTAGAGTACAATAAACTGAAGAACAATACGAGGGAATGTTTAATACAGAATGAATATGTAAATTATTTTGCCACAATAATATTATGGAGATAATATGTTTACTTGTTTACTTCCTCTTTCAAACATAATCCAATCAGATTAGAGACAATTATTCCTGTTAAAATTAAAGGTAGGGATTAATTTAGAAATTCCATGAGCGGACTGGGAAGATGGCAGAAATTAACAATAGTAGGTACTCATAAAAAATTTCCTATCCAAGTTTTAGGTCATGAAAATCGAGGTGAGAGGTCAGCTAACAAAAAACGGATTCGCGTAAAAATTATCGCAAATTATTTTAATAATTTACAGATAACAAAACCAGTTCGTACAATTTCTTTAAGTACCTAACAAGAAGAACAACTTCTGCCAAACTATAGCATAAATGCAAAAATGTTAGGGAAAATCCTTAACAATATTTTGACTGACCGTAGGAATGTGGCAGAGTCGAGGTAATAATTTACAAATCACAAAACCAGTTCGTAGAATTTCTATAAGTACTCAACAAGAACAACAACTTCTGCCAAACTACACCATAAATGCAAAAATATTAGGGAAAATCCTTAACAATATTTTGACTGACCGTAGGAATGTCGCAGAGTCGAGGTGTCGGAATGTGTCAAAGTCGAATATCATCCAGAGAGAGAGCACACGGAACGGCAGGAGGCTTACGAAGAAGAATATCGTCACCGTCACCAGCATCACAACCACCTGCATGGCAGTGAATATTGTGAGTTTAATTTGCTACATTTACCATGCAATATCTTTATCAATAACTTTTAGACTGACTTTCTGCGCATTGGTTCTATAAAGTGTGCAGATATTTTTAAACCCTTATATTCTGTTACTGACGGAAACTTTTAGCGATTGAAATAATTTTATTTGTAGTCTAATATTGAATGAGCAAAATACACGCTCGTTATAAAGTTAAAATATCGTAAATATACGTTTGAACGGTCAGAGATGTACTGAAATTGATTGAAAAAATTCTATCCCGGCGAGGATCAAAATTAGTGTTTAAGATCTAAAATTAAATAATTAAATTCTTAGTAAGCTCATTTGAAAAGTTTGTGTTCATAACATCCACTTCCTTAACTGCATAAAAAGGTTCATGCTCGCCGTGATAAGGTCAACGGCATATCAAAGACTCGAGAGTGAGTAGTTGAAGTTTGGAATCTCGTCTCGATAACTTGAGTCGAACAGAGTTGACACGCAAAGTTTGACTAAGACATCAAGTGTCCTAAACAAGCTACTCAAGGTAGATATTTTGTAGAGTTTGATTTGAATGCCTTCCTACAGTGATTATAAACATATAGAAACTAGAGAATTCAAACGTGCGAAAAGAGAGTGAACTGCATTTTCAGACCTATTATATTGATGATTCTTAGCTCAGTGCATACGGATCCAAGTTTTACGGATGCACAACAACATGAAGCGAGTTGGTAAATGATACAAAAAGGAAATCACATTCTCTGATTTCTCAGGGATTAAATATAATGGCTCTGAATTTATAATTATGTTCAAAAAAGCACGACTTGTGATTTTACAAATGACGATTCGTTTCGACATCACCATCCTAGTTTACTCTAACAACACTATCCTTCCGAAATCACTATCCTAGTTTACTCTGACATATAACTATCCTTCCGACATCACTATCCTCGTCTACTCTGACATCACTATCCTTCCGACGTCACTATCCTCGTTTACTCTGACATCACTATCCTCGTCTACTCTGACATCACTATCCTTCTGACATCACTATCCTCGTCTACTCTGACATCACGATCCTCGTTTACTCTGACATCACTATCCTTCCTACATCACTATCCTTGTCTACTCTGACATCACTATCCTTCCGACATCACTATCCTCGTTTACTCTGACATCATTATCCTCGTTTACTCTGTCATCACTATCCTTCCGACATCACTATCCTTCCGACATCACTATCCTTCTGGAACTTTTGGAGTCAATTAAAAATGTTGTCTGAAATATATAAATTCGTTGAGTATCTCTATAGGTCAGCGCAATCGAAGCGAGCAATCAATTCGTCGCGGCAATTAGATATGTCAATTCACCGACATCGATGCGTTTATAAAATAACGGTTCCAGATCATTCTGGGGTTCAATGGAAATGAGTAGAGTGCTGAATTTCAATTGTTGACATGAATTGGACGTCAAAAAGGAATATTTGTGCGATCTATTAAACAATGTTGGATGAATGAAGGCTAAATTGTTTGCCACAATGTGAATATTTGAGGGAATGAACAATGATATTTGCCTTCTAATATTCGTTAAGTCTTAATTTACGATGCATCATATTTCTTATGTGTAGCACTTGAAAAAATTTAATATTGACCTGAAATTGGCAGTAATCAAGCTCACTGCATTTGATAATAAACTAAATGAAATACAAGAATACGCTCTAAAACTTTGCTCAGTTTTACCGGTGAAACTTGTTCTCTTAACAGACATAAAAGCGACCCATAATTACCTCAACATTCATTGTTCCTGCACTAGCGTAAAAATTATCCTAAGACGAACTTACAGACGTCAGAAAAGTTACCTAATTGCGGTCTAGAATGAATTTTGCGTGCTCCTTGCGTTGATATTAAGGGCGAGAAGCCAGAAGAGATTGACGTTTTTAGAGGAAGACTTGAAACTTGGAGTCAGCCTCTCCTTGAGATTCAAGTGAGAACAAATAAAAATGTTTTGTATGATAAAATTAACCGTTCCCATGACAAGAAAGAGTTAATTTTAATAATATTTATGCTAGTAAATTGTGTTAAGAAAATTGATCATTGCAATCCATATACATTAGCATTAATATTGCGTTAAATATACAGTTCATATTATAAATGCAGTGTTTTCATTGATAGCTGTATTTGACGTCTGTTTAGTTATCTCAGCTTTAGAAGTTTTTGTTTGCAAATTTCTCATACAATTATTATGTTAACTTTCAAAATCTATCATAAAGCCGTTAAAAAAAACTTTTATTCTATGATAAACATCAAAAGTTTCTACATCACGTCATAAACAATAAAAAGTCGTAAATTAAAAAAAATGAGAATAAACCCCGATACCTACCTATAGCTTAGAAAATTAAATGAAAAAAATATGCAATTCTGGCATTTCGGTAAGTTTCCTTTCCTATCTCACTGTTATGATCGACCCAAATATTTCCAAGTTGACTTCATCAACTGGTATTATTCACAGAATAAAAAATAACATTCTAGTTTCAGCAGCTATTGAATATTAATGGCAATTACCGTAGACTTTCCACGCTCAATGGGAGCTCCACGGCAAAGTTGTATAGGAGTCTGCCAAACTTCTTAACTTAAGATTGCGTGTCAAGTGCTTGGAACATGGAACTAATTGAACATGAACTCCCACATTTAATATAAAAATTGGCTACGCGATTTTTGTTGTTGATTTAAATATTAATTACAGATATCTTATGCAACATCTAGATTGTGCTTAATTTTTTCGTTTGTTATTCCTGCAACTTTTCATTTGAAAACCTAATCCTTTGACGATAATGTTAATATACATAAATATATTGGACTTGTTTTATTATTTATTTGAAAAATTTATATTTTGCAGTGTTGCAAAAAAAAACGAACTGAAATAAAACACTTATACATATCTCTATTATCGCTAAAAAAATAAGTGGTAGTGAATTTAGTAATTCAAATTTGAGGTAGGGAATATGTGCAAATAATTTTTCATGCATGCAAAAATAGGTTCAACGTCTCGTCGAGATAGGTTCAAAGTCATATGACACATGTTTTCGGCTCTGGATATCCAGGTTAGGAAATATTGTTTACATAAGTTATATTTCCTTCAAAGATTTTGAGTTGTTAAATCTTCAGGGTATTGAAGGCAGTGTTTATAATTTGGATCTTCAATAAAAGACGATTTCAAAGTGACAGTAAATGCCATCCAACTTACAATGAAGCAAAACTTCTTTCTAATCATCTCGTTATGCGGAACTTTACAGGGCAAATCTTAAGTTGAATCGAAGTTAAATTGCTTTGAATGTGTGATCAGGAGTTAAACTGTTGGATCACCATTTTTTTGTTGAGAATTATAAGTGAGTAAGCATGAAAGTAATTTTATAATGATAAACAATACAACTATGTGAAACAATTATCGAGAAAAATTATGCCAAGTAATTAATGATGTAACTCAACATGAACTTGTCGTAAAAACCAGTTTTGAGCTCTGTTTTTTAGTATTTAAAAAAATCCATAAAAATAGTTTGATAGTAAAAATAATTTGTTTTCATGGCATTGCAACAGAAATTATTTACTCGGTAGGATTTGAATATGTACGCACTCGTCAATTTCATTTGCATTGAAAAAAATTAACTCGCAATCCAATGAACTCGCTCCTTAGATATACTAATTTCAGGGTGTAAGTATATTAATAATAATTATTCACTCTAGCTGTAAAATTTAATATTTATCAAAACTACATTTCTGCGGTATGAGTTCAAAAAACGTTGAACAAAGCTCAGCCCCGAACTTGAGTAAGAAAATAGATCATATTGATTGAACCTTGAAATATTGAAAATAGATCATATTGATTCCACCTCGGTCCATAGAAGCTCTTCTGATGGGCTTCAGCTGAAGACTTCGCAGAAGTTTCCTGCAAAAGCTATCAAGAAATTTACGGCAATATTCTGGATGAATAGATTTTTCTGTCAGTTAGATATACTAATTTCAGGGTGTAAGTATATTAATTATAATTATTTACTCTAGCTGTAAAATTTAATATTTATCAAAACTACATTTCTGCGGTATGAGTTCAAAAAACGTCGAACAAAGCGCAGCCCCGTACTTGAGTAAGAAAATAGAGGCATATTGATTGAACCTCGAAATACTGAAAATAGATCATATTGATTCCAACTCGGTCCATAGAAGCTCTCCTGATGGGCTTCAGCTGAAGACTTCGCAGAAGTTTCCTGCAAAAGCTATCAAGAAATTTACGGCAATATTCTGGATGAAGAGATTTTTCTGTCAGATTTTCCACCAAACCAACTTGGCGCTAAAAGACTGGACTAGAGATGCGCGTTTTGCATATTGCCTAAGTGACCTAACCCAACAGCAGATGAAATGCCGATTGTTTTTCGCCTGTGCAATCGTATTATTTTTAGATGAGCCAAAAATTTTGAAATTTTACCTCTACCAACTATTATCATTTTAGATAAATATCAATGTTTCATGACACGCAAAATGGAATTTCAATATATTAATATCGAATAAGTGGTTTGGCTGAAAAAACATTAATTGTTCAATAAAATCATTCATTTACTTATTTATTTTATGATTGAAATAATGAATACATTCAATCCGTTTTAGTTAATTTGCCATAAGTATTGCAATAATTCCTGACTTATTAAGTATAGAGTATAGAATTTTTGAAGCTATAACTGACCTGTTTCCTAGCACGCATGTTGGGCAGGTCACTCTTGCGATGTAACTCAGCCGTATTCGTGTCATGTACGAGACGCTGCGCTATGACGAGGTACAGCAGCAGCAGCATCACCAGAGGCCCCAAAAAGAACAGCAAAACCATGGAAATATAATAAAAATTTGCCCATCGACTTTCCATGCTCGTGTAACACGAGTAAGTGACATCAGAGGAAATAAAGTCGTTAATATCAACGGTCGGTCCTGCAGTCGAGATAGGTTTAAATAGATTAACGTTTGGGGTTGAAAAACTGGTCCCTAACGATTGTTGACTTGGAAGTGTTGGACCCAAATGTTTTGTTGAACTGTTTGGTGAAAGATTAGTTTGAAGAAAGGGGTTGAGTGAAGTATTTGTTGCGGAATTAATAGGTGTGATTGTAGAGGTAAAAGTCGGGAAAGGAGACGTTAGAGTTGAGGCCGGCATCGTGTATGCCACGTCAGGCGTACGGCTCAGCTGGCTGATGATCAGCATCGGACTGTGAAGAAAAAAATACGGTTAATATCAAACCAAATATTAATAAAACAGGTTATTTTTTCAAAATTTTCAGTGATTTTATAAAAGAAAAAACATAAAACAGCGAGATTTTCAGGAATCAATAAATATTTACAGATGAAATTTTTTGACAGGAGTTCTCGAGTGTATGACTGCATGGTTCTTCAAATTGAGAGAAGATTGAAAATAAGCACATCTTTGAGTCATTTAATTCTAGATGACCGAAAAATTATGTAATTATATATTTTGTATATTGCTGAAAAGGCAATTTTACCACACATTTATCCCTGTAGGTAGTGTAGCTGTTACATTCGTTAGCTAACTGCGTTAAACACTATTAATTTTCGTGATGAGGCAATTCCGTATACGTCCAACCTTTTGTAAAGCCGAAACTCAAGTTTAAATTTAATACCTAATTTCCCTGCGTTACTTGCCAAATATTTTTGTGGAATCTAATTTAGCAGACAAGCGCCTAATTCCAGGTAAATATTTTTACCTTATAGTTCCACAAGCTACGAAAAATTTGCTTTAAAATTAAAAATTTGCAAACATTTAGGCTCACTATACATCAGCTAATCCCTTGGGAATTAGAGAAGATTTCATGCAGAGCCATACCTGAAAATTTGAAGTTAATTACCGAATTAATTGGAAGGCTGTTTATCAACTTAAAATCCTAATTCATTGGTCGATTAGTACCGTGGGCCATGTTTAACGATGCCGGGCAACGGTGACGAAGTCATTTTGAAGTGAGTCGGATTTTTGGAGGATGGCTGAAGTCAATACATCGTTACGCCTATTTTAGTCTTATTAAAATGTTAATATCGCATTTAATGAACGAATTTAATCTTATCAATTCAACTGGACTTGTAAATAATGCAAGATAATGTCTAACTTTTAAATATTTGTTGAAAGTTCCATAAAAAAGTTTTTAAGGAAACTGGTAATACCAATCGAGAACACGGATAATTATTGGCAATTTTTATATATATAGCTTATAATTTATTTAAAATTAATAATAAGCTAAAATAATTAATTATCATAATTAAGCACTAACCTTTCGTTAATTTTATTATCTTCACAGGAAATTGAATCAATTTTTTCAAATATACCGAATTACAGCTGATGATCTGTACTCAAAATAAGAGTGGAGTTTTAAGCCGACATTGGTCAGCCAGCATGCACGACATTAGTCGTTTGAAAATGATACCACTATCATAGAATGAAGTCAGTTTCAATGGCACTGTTGAAATTTTTTTTTTTTGTGGGTAAAAAACACTATTCGAATTTGAGTAATGAAAAAAATTGTACTGACACCAAAATTCGTAAAATGCTTGAACACTATAGGTGGTAATATTTATTACCTTTTTGCATTAGCTATAATATATATTATTTTGTATAACTATTACCTTTAATAATATTCAAAATTACCTAGATACAACGAAAGAGTCGACCCATTTATTGACCAAGCACGAACACGAACGCCTTTTCCCACATACCTTGATTTAAAGCAGTTTTTACGCACGCATTTTTGAGCACGCACTCCATGTCTGGAGACGAATGGAATCATGGACACATATTACTGACCATGTAATAAGTACTCATTACAAACCTGGAAACAATTAGCGTCGTGATCCAAATGGTGACGATGCACGAACAAGCGCGCATTTTCGTGCACGTGTACGAAGCCGTGAGAGGTCTGCATATTGCGTAGTATCGCTCTAGACCGATCACGAGGATCGTAAGTACGGATGCGTGACTCACGGACCACTCCACGAACGGCACCACCTTGCCTGCAAAAAAAAACATTTACTGCAGATGTACGACCTTTAATTTAATATAGGAAAGAATAAAAATGATATTAATGCAGGTGTCGTTGAACAATGAAATTATTACTCAACCAATATTTTTTTAATATTATGAGCAAACTATTTCCCATTATCGTCCCATTGGTACACAAAAAATGAAAGAAAATACGAGGATCACGATAGCAAAACGGTACTTAAGTTTCAGCCATTTGAGTTAATTAAAGCTGATAATGTAATTAGTTTACTTAACACATTACACTGTAGCGGTCCGACTTTCTGTCGTTCGCGCTCTTCTTCTTTCTTTCCGACGCATTACTCGGAGCTGAAATTGGGCATGAGCCGGGGTTGGCTCGCTCTCGATTGAGCCGCCTGCCAGGACGGGCGTGGCAGGACGCAGTAATTGGTCGGCAAGGAAGTTACTCAGATCCAGTCCGATGCTGCCGTCAACCATTCATTCAAAACCAAGTTCTTGTATTTTGCCTACTTCATTCGTCTGCCATGGACGGGTGCGGCTGCAGGCAATCGGAGCTAAAGTGCCAGTCTCAAGACGGTAACGCTTCCGGCACTGTACGTCGCCAGGACTTGGTCGATGATTTGAATATTTCTCTCCTACCGGTTGAACAGCGTAGAAGGAAGCTGCAACTTGTTGGCAACGTTGGACAGGAGCCCCGTTGTAATCTCGGCAAGCAATGCGCTCCTCCGCTAGTTTCCCACACTAAGGAAGCTGCAACTTGTTGGCAACGTTGGACAGGAGCCCCGTTGTAATCTCGGCAAGCAATGCGCTCCTCCGCTAGTTTCCCACACTTTGATTTGATTTGACTTTTCTATCTTCGCTGAACTGACTTCTTCTCGGCGACAACACCGATGACCTTACGGATGGGCCCAGCCAAATTTAATGTTCTTCATGTGCTTTAATGTTTAACCATCCGTTTACCGCCTGATAGCTACCTAAGATTATTACTGAATGTACTTCTCATGGATTCGCTTGTTCATTTTAATACTTTGTTCATTAAATATATAGTTCATGCTTTGATTTATATAATTTGTTCATTCTTTCTAACTATCCCGTTGGGGTAGCCCATATGTGTTGCCCCCTCTCCCGCAACAACACGTTAGCTGTTGATGAGTCACATAAAGGTTACACGTTGTTACCTGCTAGCCTGTTATTTTTTCATAATGAATGACGATTGTTTATATTAATATTGCCGTGAATAATATTTAATCTCAATACAAATTTTTTTTAATTCCTGAACATACAAATGACAGGTTTCACAGGACAGGTTAAGTTCCCGAAATGTTTCTTACAAGCAATACAAGGGAGGTGAAAACACTTTTATTTCATGATTCATTCATTCCGAAAATAAATAGATTTTTTTTTTTCGTACAATTTTCAGCACAGAAGCGAGTAAATCTAGTTACAGGCTATAGTTCATTCACACTTTAAACTTCAAAATGTTGGAGAAATAACCGTAACGTTTAAGAGCAAAAATAAACCAATTTAAAACCAAATTTTAGTTAATGGCTTATTTACAAAGATCTATTACAGTAATGACGCCGGTACTTCAATACGGTCATTTTAAAATTTATTTTTAACCAAAATCATGGAAGGAATGTATCCTTATCACTCGCGAATTCCTATCCGCAAAGTTTATAGGAAGGCCGGTAGCCAATTTCTGGAAGCGCATCGCCACAAAGGCAGCAATTGAAGGAAATTTGTTGTGCAAGCGATGCGTATCTTTTCTCTCTGAGCCTTGAAACCAAAGTGACTCAGAACTCAAACTTGCAAGCTAAACAAAGACTTGCATTGGCAGTGTAGTATTGTAACATGAATTGAGGGATTATTTGGTATTTTCAGGGTCCAGGAACATTTGCATGATTTTTGTTTGGCATTGTCAGGGTCCCGGAACATTTGCATGATTTTTATTTGGTACAGTCAAGGTCCCGGAAAATTTGATTAATTTTTGTTTGGTACATTCAAGGTCCCGGAACATTTGAATGATTTTTGTTTGGTATTGTCAGGGTCCCGGAAGATTTCCATTATTTTTGTTTGGTATTTTCAGTGTTCCGGAAGATTTCCATTATTTTTGTTTGGTATTTTCAGGGTTCCGGAAGAATTGCATGATTTTTTTGGTATTAGCAGGGTTTAATATGAATTGCGGGATAATTGCTTGGTATTGTCAGTGTCTAATTAACCCTCTACCGCCTGACACGAGTAACCGGAGCAATATTGTCACGCGCCTACTTCCCAAAAAGGATACGTACTAGTGAGCGCAAAATGACTTACACTGATGGTTGCCGACACGTACGACAACTTTAAAATGTTCTCTGTTGCGTACAAACGTCCTCAGGTTGCTACACTCAATAGTTTACTTGTAATTTAAGTTTAAAGTTATGGCCCCGGAGAGTGACATGCGGCGGTAGAGGGTTAAGAGAACTTTGTTATCATTATTTGGTATTTTTAGAGTCTTAGATGAATTGTGTGATTATTGTTTCGTATGATATTGAACCAAGTTTAAAGGGATCGCAAAAGTGAATTTGAATAAAAATTATATGTTACACTCATTTGTGCATGAAAATTTTGCTCATTGTTATCGCTGCTTGATAATTTGTAGGAGTCTAAGTTGAAATAAATGAATATTCTTTAGTATTTTAAGACATGCCAGAACTTTTCTTTAGTATTTCAAGTGTCGCAGGAAAATTTCATGCAGGATTTTTTTTATTGTCCAAAAGAATGAGTTCTCAAGAAGATGAATTCTTATCCATTCCTGAATATTTTCGAATAATTTTTTTATTAACTTTTCTAAGTTTATATTAATTGTTATTAATGTGGTTATAAACTGGGTAATTACCCTCTCTCTGTATTATCGTCTAACTTCTGCATTAGTCAACTTATTTAACAGATGAAGAACTTTTTTGTTTCAGCAACATGTGTTTAAGAAAAATTCTACTGCAATACGTGAACTGAAATCACAGAATTTATGAGTAATGAGTCACGGACATAATGAAAAACAAGTAAAATATTTATATGTTCCATATCTTCACTTGACAAAATTTTATTAAGTTATTAATATACCATCCCACTACATATTCATCACATTATACTTATAATTAGGAAGCTAAATTTAGCAGCCCACTATGTTTATTTTCTGATCGTTATTCACAAAACAGTTTTTTGCGTCAAAAGACCGCCATCTCAACAAAATATTCATCAATATCTTGAAGTGTTTGCAAATGAAAATTACAAGTTCGTGGTCACAGAAACTCAAGGTTGTGTGAATGATTTATTAAATATTTTTACTTTGGGAGGAGATATTCTGATGATCTCTGAACACACAAATTTCTATAAATGAAATGAATGTTCTAAAAGCATATAATATATCATAGAGATGTATTACATCTATTATATACACAGAAATAGTTAGATTAAGCAATGATGATGTGTAACTTAACAATTAAATAATATATTTAACAATAAGTAATAATTTATTTATCAAGAATCAAAAATGGTAATAAATACTATGACATGGTCTGCAATATTCCCAATATGTTGTGAAAACGTTGTTTTTCATTCGCTGTTTACTAATGTTAAATGGAAAAAACTTGAATAATATCATCATTGTAATTCACTTCAATATAAATACAGCTGATATGTCCATGTCGAGATAAATGATANACTTGAATACTCTGAATAATATCATCATTGTAATTCACTTCAATATAAATACAGCTGATATGTCCATGTCGAGATAAATAATAATTTAAACTAATTAACTAAAGGCTCTTATGACCATCCGTTCCCTCTACAATCTAGATCTATTTTATCCGCAATAAGCATTCAGAAAAATGTATTTCAGCAGAAAAAAAATAATAAAAATGTACTTCAAGCCCAATTGTGGTATAGGAACAATAATTTCGGTATATATAGGATATCAATTTTGGTATAGAAACATTAATTTCGAGTAAACCAAAGACGTAACGAAGTTCAGTGCTCGTTGCAATCTCGAACGTCAGTTAATTTGATAGCGGGACACAAATTCGAGAGAAAAATTAAAGTCCACAGAGCAAAGCTTGATGAGTCTCGTCTCAATCCAATATTGTTTTCAAGCAAAATTCATATAATTGATTGAAATTTTAGGAAAAGCTCATTTGGGGTTTTACATTTAACTTTATATTTGATATGTGGTTTTTATTCAAATCTCATGAATTTGTGCATTTTGATGCTAATGGGACGTCTCTCAAAGTATTTTTTAATTTCAATTTTTCATATTCGACTCCTTAAAAATGTGATTAATATGCAATCTGTCACGGATCATAATCACGCAATAATCTGCATGTACGATGAACTTGGTTTGCTCATAAAATTGCTCTCGAAAAAGCTTGTCAAAAGCTAGTTCGCTAGTTTAATAAATGTAATACATAAGCATTAAGCTCAAAATTTACAATAATTTTTCTTTTTAAAAAAATGCGGCAAATTGTCTGTCAGTTTTAATTTCCTCTGTAAAAGTTTGGATAAAAATTGTTCAATTTCGTCCCGGGACTGAAGTTGATAACTGTTAGCAGGATTTCATTTTTGTTAACTGGACGGAAGTTCTCGACGGAACTGCAAAGCCGAAAACTGGTGACAACGTTGCAAGTTTTTCGTAAATGCAATCTTTTCTACAACGAATTTCAACTATTTAAAAGAGGCTGAGCGTGAGCTGTGAGGATTCAAAAATCTGAAATTTCAAAAAAATACTCGAAAATCTCACTTCAATTTTTTGTGCGAAAGATACGACACTGCATGACAGATCAATATTATGTAATTAGTTTGCTTATAAATGACAGTTTTCTTATTAACTACAAATCTTATTGTTAAGATTAAGAAGCAGATGGCATAAATTTTCTATCATCTACGTTCAATAGAATCTTGCTTGGGAAATATTTTGTTCAGGAAAAGATAAGTTTCCTCCCTTTGCCTCAATGTCTGTGTTCAACTAT